CCAGAATTCCCCAGCCAGCATGGCTGGCTGGGGAATTCTGGGAGTTGTAGTCCACACATCTTTAAGTTGCTAAGGTTGGGAAACAATGCCCTAACAGTAGTCTCATGTAGCCCATAATTTACCATTTTCTTAAGAAAGTTTCATAAGAGATTTTATCAGTGGCTTTGCAGAAATCCAGGCATTCTGTAAGGAAAAGACAGGCCAAGGCAGAACCTAAATTTACTTTTTTTAAAATGATCATTTAAATGTTTTAACGAAGAGCAGGGGGTGGTGTTATGTTATGGAGCAGTGCACCAGGCTGCAACCTGATCTCTTTTTGACAAGAAGGTTATTCTTGGAAAATAAAAGTTGGGGGACAATGATAGGTGGTTATAATCCAGTACTTGGTTTGGAAGCATGGCCAGCAGGCTGTGGGGGTAGGGGGCATCCTGTCAAGCTAGGAAGCATGGCTGCAAATTGCCTCAGATGTTTGCAGCCATTTTGTGAAAGTGCTCACAACATGCTCTCCAAATTGCAGATCTAACCACTCGCCCATGGTCCCCACTGATTATTGTCAGTCTCAAGGACCTCCAACCTTCTGTTTTCCTTTTTCATTCCTTTTCTTTTGGGTAACTTTGTTCCCCTTCTACCTTGTACTGCAAGGTGGAGAGAAAATTCTTTAGAATTTGGAATATTGATAGATTGCCCTTGATATCACAGCATTGTGCAGCAGTGTGAAAAAACAAGGAGTTAAAAGTCAACACCCTGAAATCAACTGTAAAATAGCTAGTTAAAAAAAATCAAAGTAATGATACCCAAATACAAAAAAAGATAACAACAGTGCTCGCCATAAGCAGCATAATTGGTGGATGTATAAATGCAATTTATTTTGTGGAAGAGATTGTTCAGATCTCTCCATTTTAGATGTGAGCTGTCTACCTCTGGGTCTGTTTTAATTTTTTGGGCACATGGCATCTTGAAAAGTCTTCTCTTTGCATCCTCACATGCAATGGCTATAGCTGAAAGGAAGACCATGCAAACATTTTGTAACTTCTCCTGAGAACATTACAATTTAGAAAAAAGTGGTGCTTGTTCAGTGTGGTTGTAATTTTTGAAAAACGTTTGTTGTTTTATAGGCAGGACCAATAAATGACATAGAAGCAGGAGCTTCTAGACGTGGGTGTTTGTCAAGTGGACAAAGGATGACACATGCGTCACGACTTTGTCACACAAATAGTGCAACTTACGTATTTGTGTCCAGTGTCACATCACTGGAAAGTGATGTTGTGACATACATGTCATCATTTTGATATTATTGTGGCTTGTTACAGACGCTGATCTCTCAAGGGGTTAAGAGAGAAGAATTTTCCTGAGCATCCCATATCTATGCTGATGGGGTCCTAATTGTCTTCACTTTTGTAATGGATTTGTATGTGAGTGGGGTCAAGGAAGAAGGAAGGAAGACGTTGAAATTGTAAATCCTAAACTGCTGGATTTGGACAGTATTCATTCACTGTTCTTTTGACCAACTCAGTTTACTTATTAGGAGATGAAAAACCAGTAGATTGATGTGACAAAGATGCTTGTTATTTTCTGCAGGAAGGAGAAGCAGAGGGGGCTTTAAAAGAACATCAGGATGTTGATGTCAAAAAAATAGATGGAAATACAGCTATGTATGTGTAAGTAGACTTCCTGGACAATTTTCAGTATCTCCTTTTGTTCTGAACTGCTCTTTCAGGTCAATAGATTGCTGCTAGGAAAGCTGCTGAAAATGAGAATACTCTAGATATATTGCAGAATATTGCTGCTGAAACTCTAAAAGCTGTAGAACTTTTTCACTTCGAAAGCAATGCAGATTGGAGTGATGATGAAAATGTGGCAAAATTTCAGGGCTTACCTTTCATCAGAGGTAGAAAGAACTGAGAACTTTTGGAGAAAAGATATGGAGATAATCTTCAATGGCACTAGCTGAGTAGGAAATGGATCCTTCCCAATCCTTCAAATACTGTGTTTTTCTCAAGAATGACCTTCCAAATTGACATGTTAAGGCAATAGAACTGCTGAGCTAACAAACTGATTGACTCAGTGGAAGGTTTCTTTTTGATTTTGGTTGTATTGATTAATGTTCCCTGTGCTGCATATCGTGAGTCTGGTAGCCCCTTTTCCAACTAGCAAGTTTTATTAAATGGTATAAGTTTTCATGAGATGCAGTTTAAGAAAATCTGTTGATCAGGAAAGAAGCTAACACAGTCCTCCTGATTTTTTGCTACCATACACTAACGCAGCTCTTCTCCTACAGTGTTTCTAGAGATAGATAGATAGATAGATAGATAGATAGATAGATAGATAGATAGATAGATAGATAGATAATGTTATTGATATGTTTTGCATTTTATTGTTAGCCCGACTTACAGAGGAAAGATGTGCCTCCGTTTGTGATTGGAGCTGCCTATAAGCCTAGTAATTAATTAATTAATAGCTCTGATTTTGAAAACAGATTAGAAAAAATAAGGTTTTTGGAAACAACAGTTCCAGAATGTTTCTGGGTCCCCCCCCCCCCCAAGAATCTTTGGTTACTGAATTAAATTGATTGGTGGAAACTTCAGGACAGAGATAAAGAAACTTCAGGACAGAGATAAAGAAAGAATGCTACACACAACACAGATTTGATTTATTTTTTTCATGTCCCGGGAGCAGCAGTTGCAAATTACTTCCATATGGCTCCAAGAAAATTGTAGAGATATGTCTGTGAAGGAACTGAGCTCAGTTTGAAGGAGTCTTTACTTCTTTTATTAGGTGGCTGTACAGATCTGGTGTGGTATACTGGGACTAGATTCTAGCCCTTCCTTAGGCATGGAAGCCAGATGGGCGACCTTCAGCCAGTCACTCCCTCTCAGCCCTATGTCCCATCTGACGCTGCAGCAGGGCAGCTGAAGAACCAGACCCCTGTGGCTTCATGTATTCATGCTTTGTTGTGTGAACTAGTATGGTGCAAATGAGCAGATCCTGCTGTCAAATGGAACAAACATAAAAAGAAGAGACAATAAGGTGTGGCAGTGATCTTTAGACCAGTGTTTTTCAACTTTGGCAACTTTAAGATGTGTGGACTTCAACTCTCAGAATCCCCCAGCCAGCATGCTGGCTGGGGAATTCTGGGAGCTGAAGTCCACACACCTTAAACCTGCCAAGATTGAAAAACATTGCTTTGGAGAGATGAAGCCAGCAGCCGTATCTAACAATATGGAGTACTCCTGTTTAAGCTATTCCCATTCATTTCTCTCTTTTATCTACTTCTCTGTTCTCTTCCTTCCTCATAGTCAGCATTCCATGGCCACTGACCACTTAGTCCCTGCTGATTGAGATAAAACTCCATTTGGTTTTTCTCCCTAGTTTTTTGTCCTTCTGTAAACTCTGAGATTTTCCAAAGCCTATAGATACTTTCCTCTTTTGTGTAGATGGGTCTTTTCCAGCACAAGCAGTGGTTCTTCCTGCTGAATCTTATAAGACGTGTTGACTTTAAAAAGAGTTGGCTGCATTCAAGATGAAAAGATGGGCCAATACCTGTGACCTAGGCTAGCCAATTGGAATCTCAGGGTTGAATTTGGTTGAATATTAGCATTGACATCAACTATTCCAAAGTTCACAATAAATCACTTTTTTAAATGATAGGAATCTTGAGCATAATTTATGATTCAGGAGAAAAATATAACCAAAGGTCATGCACCAGTCTTCACCTTTTCTGGCCAAATTTTCTTGTTTCTGTGCTGCTGTAGCCTAAAGACTAACTATAATATGACATAGGGTTAAGAATCTGGTTCCCACCTAGTTCTTTCCAACAAGGTATCCTGGCATTATCGATTACATTTATACCTTGTATTTCTTCAAAGAAACTTAAGTTTTACTTAGTTCTCTTTTCACACACATACCCCACTCATTGTAGAGAGTAAAGAAGATGTCCTTGACCGAAATAAGAGATAAGTGAGATTGAAGTGGCAAGGGGAAAAAATCTATCTTAAGTCCAAAGGAAGCAAAAAATAGGTGGAAGAGGCTCAGACAGACACCTCCCTAATTCACACGAATATAAGGGGAGTAGGTACAGCATAATCAGACTTGCAAGATTCTGTTATTATAGCCAATCTCAATTAAAGTAGTCTTAACCTTCCTGTGGAGTTGATTTCCTGGTCTGGTCTACTCAACAGGTTGAAATCCTAATTCAGCCATGAAGCTTAAGGTCTCAAGGTCTAGGTCAAGGTCTTCCTTGACCAAGAATAGGACAATGTTCATGATTTCACCCCACTGTGTCTTTTCTATCTTATTAAAGCCGGAACAAATCTGTGGATGAAGCAAAGAAATACTTGGAAAAAGAAGAGTTAACCGTCAGCCAGCTTCTTCTTTCTCTCAGGACCGAAACTCAGAAGAGGGAAGCACTGGAAAATAAGCTGCAGGAACTTAAGGACAAGTGCCAACAGTGTGTATTCTTCTGTTTGTATCAGTGTTAAACATCTCCTTTTCCAGCCAGCCTCCACCTTTGCCTCTGTGTGTGTCTCAGCAGTTATCTCCATCTCCATATTCTTGCACCAAACGGCACCCTCCAGCCAATCATCACCAAAAAGATGAAGATCTCTTGAGCTTCGTCTCACCCTTTTCATTTTTGTGACAACAGAAGTAGGGAGAGCAACCGAGCTATTGTGGGGAAAGATGGGAAGAAGGCAATGCAAACAAGTGTCTTAACCTTGGAGGAAGTAGGTGGAATTCCACCAATGATCAACCATCCCACAGGGCATCTCCATAGGAAATGCTGTGAATGGTTGTGGGAGCCTTTCCCCTGGAACAGAAGCCAAGCTATTTAGCTTGTAGAGTTAATCATTTTCAGTGGCTGGAAGGGTCTCAGCATCATGGGTATACAAAGGGTGGTATGGATCTCAGACCAGCCCAGTTTTTGCACAGGGATAAAGTCTTTGTAGAAAAAGTGATAGGGCCTAGCAAAGTGCTCAGATCGCATGGAGTATTGACTCCTGAGCACTCAAAAAACTTCAAGTATGTTCTCAGTAATATGACTGTAATACAAGCCATTTATGACATGGCTCCCAGCCACTTAAACTGCATCTTGAGTTAAACAGCTCATACTTCATATCTTCCAAAAACAAAAAAATGTGAGCTACAAGGACTTTGGTAGCATAAGCTTTTCTAGATCAGTGTTTCTCAACTTTGTCAACTTTAGGATGTGTAGACTTCTTCAACTCCCAGAATTTCCCAGCCAGCATGCTGGCTGGGGAATTCTGGGAGTTAAAGTCTACACATCTTAAAGTTGACATGGTTGAGAAACACTGTTCTAAATCATTGTTTCACCGGGATCCTTGCTTTTCACAGGCTGTTGAGTCTGAAAAAGAAAACAGATGAGAAAGGCATTCAGACAGAACAAGAAGCCAACGAGAAAAAAGAGAGAACAGAAAGTGTAAGTACTACTCATTTACTCATGCCTTACACCAAGCCCAGTAGGGCTTTTGTCATTCATCCCTCTGAAACCCGGAAAGTACCTTACTTAAGTAGACTTCCCGTCATCTCTTGCACCCAACGGCACATCTATATAAAGTCTTCCGCATTGTGCATCTCAGAATGGTTCATTATGACACGTTGATGGTTCATGCTGGGTGTCCTTAGTGAGGCTTAGTAGGCAGCAGCTGGCTCAACTACAGATGGCACTCCCGTGAATCACCACCACCAGCTGAGATGGCCAGGTTCTGCCAGCGTGGGTGCCAGACAAGGGAGGCAAGGGGAGATGGCGTGGATACCTTGCAGGTTATAAATTTTGTCATGATTTTTGCTAGGGGGGCTCACTCAACCAACAAGTAGGCTGCCTTCCAAGTTTCCGTGGGCAGCTGAGCTGCAAAATAATAAACCTAGAGAGATCCTACCTTTTCTCCAGAATTGCACAATGGGGAGGGAAGGGGAGTTTAAAATGTGATGAGCCACATGTATGTATTTATTTATAAAAAATATTGGTAGGGCACTTGTTAGAACTGAATATCCTACAGTGACAAAACAGAACCAAAAAACCCACAGATAACAAGGAATTATGAAAACCATTCAAGTACATAATACTTAGGTTAAGAACTAATACCTTGTCATCAACTGACTGCAATAGATTTAGGTTTTAAGAGGAAACACATGGGAATGCAGGTTCTGAGGATAGGCCCTTAGGGAAATTCAAAGTCAAATCCTGGTGAGTAGTAGCATATCTAGAGGACTTTTTGAAGCTCCAGAGGTCTTGTGTTTTATCAACCTAACAGTCCCTCTGTAGAGCTTAACAAGCCATAGTACCAAACATAGTAAACCTGCCATCATGGGGCAGGTGAACAAATAAAGAATAAAGTTATATCCCTTTTTCACACGCCTAAGCAATTTTCTTATGTTGATCACTAATTCCAGTTGCTGTGGAAAATATTAAAATTGGAAATAGGGAGGTCAGTCAAAACAGAATCACTGACTTTAGAAGGAAGCCATGTAGTTTGCCTCCTTTCAGTACTGGGAACCATCTGTGGTTTGGATGTCCCAAGGGTCTCAGTTATGTTCTGAGACCTGGAATTGACTTTTGATCTCTCCTCTGACCTGTTCCTTGGGGATCTCTAGAAGTATGGTGATGAAAGTAGAAGGAACAGAAACACTGTTTATTGGTTTGTTTGACAAGCCTTCTGATTTTCCATATGTACTGGAAGATTTTACCACTAAGCTCTCGGCTCCTCTCTGTGACACTCGCAGGGAATCATCCCATATGTACTTGCCTCTAGACCTAGTCACCTCTCTGGAGAAGTAGCAAGGAGACTGTTCCTTCTGAGGCTGTGCCTGTGGAGAGCATTGGGGTGAGACCTTTTGTCATTGTCATCCAATTGCACAGGTACAAAATTAAGGCCTGTGAGTAGAATGTTTCTAAGGTGTAACAGAGCCAAGTGTGGATCTCTTCCATCTTCTGGTGCCGTCAACATATCCTTGACTGTTTGGACTATGGTTGGCTGTAGACATGCTGGACTGGAGTGTAAGAGGATGAAACCCATGCATTGGCAAACTCCAGCTTGAAGTCTAGCTTGAAAATGGAACATGATCTCATACAGGCTTTGCTGGAATGCCATAATGGACAAAAATAGCATTCAGCTGGCTGTACCAGTGACAACCCTTGCAACACTGCAGTTGCAAAACTACAGGATACTTTGAGTTATAATCTGTGACAAGTGAAATTACCTTGGTTCTTGAAATGCCTGCTGCAGCCTTTAACCATGGCAGGTGCAAAATCTGTGTGGTAATATAGGCTCGGCCTGCTTTCAACTGATACAGTAAACTTTGCTGAATATGAACATTTGTGTTGGACCGATACATGAGTATGATTGTCTTGGTTTTATACCTCTGGATTCTTTGATGTGACAAGAGTATGAGCTGCAGGATTTCATTTTTAGTGTCCTGAGAAATGATAGTTTTGGGAACTGATGTCAGCAAGGCATTCAAGGAAGGGCTAAAATGGCTGTCATTCAGCTTTAGCTGTTTCTGTCTGAGTGACCAGCCATGTAAGCATTGGATATTACAGTTCTGAAGAGCCAAGTCACCCTCAGTACAGTTGTATAATTGCCGAAACAGTTGTCTAGTGGCACAGCTTCTTCCAGGCTTTAAGGGTCCGGGCCATTTTTCAGGCTGTGGAAAACATGGACACAAGAAACCTGTGCTTGCCTTTGGTATAAACAGTGTTGATGCCATATTTTTGTAACAATAAGAGCATTCTTTGCAGTTGTATAAACATTCACCCGGGGGCTTTGAGGCAATTGCCTCTAAGCCAGTGTTGTCCAGACTTGGCCACTTTAAGATGAGTGGACTTCAACTCCCAGAATTC